GCAATAGGAAAGACCTGAAACCAACCCAAATGCCCATTGATGATAGACTGGACAAAAAAAATGTGGCACATCTACACCATGGAATACTATGCAGCCATAAAAAACGACAAGTTTGTGTCCTTTGTAGTGACATGGATGAATCTGGAAACCATCATTCTCAGCAAACTGACACAAGAACAGAAAACCAAATACCACATGTTTTCACCCACAGGCAGGTGATGAACAATGAGAACACTTGGGCATAGGGAAGGGAACAACACTCACAAGGCTAGGTGGGTGGGGTAGGGGAGGGGAAGGATAGCGAAGCGGGGCAGGGAGGATGGGGAGGGATAACACTGGGAGAAATGTCTGATGTAGGCAATGGGGCAGGGGCACGGGGATGGAGACAGGAAACCACCGTGGCATATATGTACCTATGTAACAATCCTACAGGATGTGCACATCGACCCCAGAGCCCAAGTACAATTAAAAAAAAAAAAAAGTGGCTGTGGGTCTGTTCTCTCCTAGGAAGGGATCAGCACTTCCCTGATTTAGTTTATTTGGGTTTCCTTGCCTCTTCATCTCTAATAATTTTTTTTATATATGTAAAAGCATTACTTTATATATATCTTGATTAGTCCTGAGGTTAGAGTAGGAGAGATGGTCTCTTGCAACTTTCTACATACTAACCGAATGTAGAAATCATTAAATCAATTCAATTTTCAAGAATCAGCAGTATAACAATACAGGTTATATACCTGTAAATAGTCTGCTACAAAAATTTATAATTTGTATATACATATCAAAGCACTGACTCTTCTGTGGTGTAGGAATAAATCCTGGAAGGAAAAAACTCCCCTTTGATTATGGGTAAATTTTCTGCCTTTATTCCAACTCTTACTTTTTGTATTGCTTTATATGAATCCATCCTTAGCCAACCATGCTTTGGAATTCAGGATTTCAGATGTTCAAAAGGTATACATATTACATATACATAACATCCCCATTGGGGTCTGGGCCAACATTCCAAAATCAAACACAATATTCCTGCAGTGTATGAATGTTCACCTTAACAGGGTAAGTAAAAACTATCAACAGCCTAATGATAATACTGGCTAGGTTCTGCTGTCAAATGAATTCAATTCAGGTCAGCTTTTGCCTGCTAAATGTGTTACCAAAAGAACTTTTGTCTTTCAGGGCTTTTGCTTTCTTTACTGCAGTGAGCCTTGCAATTTCAGTTTAATAACTATTCAGTGAGTTCCTAAAGTATGCAAAGTCTGTTCTAGACATAGTTGAGAACCGGGATTGTTAATGTAAAAGGGACTGGAGAGTAAAAGAGACTGAGGAGTGGTGGAAATTAAGATACTCTAAAGCAGGTGTGTCCAATCTTTTGGCTTCTCTAGGCCACAATGGAAGAAGAATTGCCTTCGGCCACACATAAAATATGCTAACATTAATAATTGCTAATGAGCTAATAATAATAATAATAATAAATTTAAAAATCACAAGAAAAATCTCACAGTGTTTTAAGAAAGTTTACCAATTTGTGTTGGACCACATTCAAAGCTGTCCTGGGCTGCATGTGGCCCATGGGTCATGGGTTGGACAAGCTTGCTCTAAAGCTCAAAACCTAAAACACAAGAATCTATACTTAAAAATATGATGACTTCCATTAAACTGGTCAAATGCTTAAATAAGAACAGCTTTACTAAACTTTATGTTTAACAGATTTTCCTATACCAGGAATGCCATCAGGTTGCCAAACTGAATGGAAACTAACTATATAAAGTGCCAAGTCAGTATTTCAAAGTACACTGAATTACTAGAAATTCTATCATAGGTTGTACAATTAAGGCCTATTGAGAGACTAAGTCAGAAACAAATCACATCTGATCCTGGCTGTATATTCAATAACTATAAGATTTTCCCTTCTTTTACACATAATACTCAGAAAAAAGTCAGCCTAAATCCACAATTAATGATAAATTAATATGTATTTAATTTTAATGTTTAATATGGTTATATGAGTTTGAGTCATATGACAAAATATATGTCAAACCTCTTACAACCACCACATAAATTTTAAATACTAAAGTATGAAATCAAATAGCATATCCAATACATTATTAAAATTTAGAAGATGACTAAATTATAAATATTAACTGATTCATGAATAAATGTATGTTTCCAAAATACAATTTCCTATACCATTTTTTTCAAAACAAATCCTATATATAAAGACACATGCACATGTGTATTTCTTGCAGTGCTGTTTACAATAGCAAAGACCTGGAACCAACCCAAATGCCCATCAATGATAGACAGGACAAAGAAAATGTGGCACATCTACACCATAGAATACTATGCAGCCATAAAAAATGACAAGTTCATGTCCTTTGTAGAGACATGGATGAATCTAGAAACCATCATTCTCAGCAAACTGACACAAGAACAGAAAAACAAACTGCATGTTTTCACTCATAGGTGGGTGATGAACAATGAGAACACTTGGGCACAGGGAAGGGAACAACACTCACAGGACTAGGTGGGGCAGGGAGGAGAGGGGAGGGGAGGGACAGTGCAGGGGGAGGTGGCGAGGGATAACATTGGCAGAAATGCCTGATGTAGGTGACAGTGGAGTGGTGGTTGGGATGGAGACAGCAAACCACCATGGCATGTATGTACCTAGGCAACAATCCTGCAGGATGCAGGAAGTGCACATGTACCCCAGAGCCCAAAGTAAAATAAAAAAAAAAAAAAAGTGGCAGTTTCCCCTGCATGTTCTTTCTCTCCTACTGCCATGAAAGAAAGTGCTTGCTTTTCCTTTGGCTTCCGCCATGATTGTCAATTTCCTGAGGCCTCCTCAGCCATGTGGAACTGCGAGTCAATTAAACCTCTTTCCTTTATAAATTACCCAGTCTTAGGTAGTATCTTTATAGCAGTGTGAAAACAACTAATATAGTGAGACTGTGGAGAAATGGGAAAGCTTATATATTGTTGGTGGGAATGTAAACTAGTTCAGCCACAACGGAAAGCTGTTTGGAGATTTCTCAAGAAACTTAAAATAGAAGTACCATCTGACCCAGCAATCCCACTAGTGGGCATATATGCTAAGGAAAATAACTTATTCTGTCATAAAGACACATGCATCTGTATGTTCACTACAGCACTATGCACAATAGCAAGGACATGAAATCAACCTAAGTGCCCATCAACAGTGGATCAGATAAAGAACATGTAGTACATATATACCACAGAATACTGTGTAGCCATAAAAAAGAACAAAATTGTTCTTTCGGTCTTTTGTAGGAACATGGATGGAGCTGGAGGCCATTATCCTAAGCAACCTGACCTAACACAAGAACAGAAAACCAAATACCACATGTTCTAACAAGTGGGAGCTCAACATTGAATACACATGACTGTAAAAATGGGAACAAGAGATACTAGGGATCACTAGATGGAGGAGGGAGGGGGGAGGCGTGGGCCAAAGAACCACCTATTGGGTACTATGCTTATTGCTTGGATGGCTGAAGCCTCAGTGTCATGCAGTTTACTCATGTAACAAACCTTCACAGATACTCTTTTTCCATAATAAAAGTTGAAATGTCAAAAAAAAAAAAAAAAAAAAAAAAAAGATGGTCAAGCTGGGCATGGTGGCTCATACCTGTAATCCCAGCACTTTGGGTGGCCAAGGCAGAAATATCGCTTGAGCGCAGGAGTTCAAGACCAGTCTGGGCAACACAGCAAGACCCCATGTCCACAAATAATAATTGACAAAAATTAGGCATGGTGGTGCACATCTGTGGTCCCAGCTACTTGGGGCTGAGGAACAAGAATCACCTGAGCCCAAGAGGTCAAGGCTGCATTGAGCCATGACTCTACCACCACACTCTAGCCTGGGTGACAAAGTGAGACCCTGTCTGAAAAAATAAAGAGAAATAAAGAAAAAAAGATGGTCAAAATAAAGATCAGCTTCATTAGAAAAATCAAAAACACATTTTAAAAGACCATAACATGGCCAAAGGGTCTACAGTCTTCCAAGTTTCAAAGAAGTTCAAAAGAGTAAGTTATTTTCAAAGGAATTACACTGTGATCTAAGAAGTAACAAATTATCTGATTACAACAACTGAAAAACTTAATAAGCTACTGCTATGGTCTGAATGTTTGTGTGTACCCAAAGTTCCTATACTGAAATTCTAACCTCCAAGGTGATAATATATTAGGAGGTGGGGCCTTTGTGAGGTGATTAAGTCATTAGGGTAGAGCCCTCATGAATGGTATTAGTGCCCCCTATAGAGGGGACCCCAGAGATCTCCCCCATCCCATCTACTATATGAGGACTGAGCAAGACAGTGTCTATGAACAAGGAAGCAGGCCCTCCCAACAATGCTGGCACCCTGATCTCTGACTTCCAGCCTTTAAAATTCTGAGAAATAAACTTCTGTTGTTTATAAACTATCCAGTTTGGAATATTTTGTTATAGGAGCCCAAATGTTGACTTTTAAAGCCAGATATATTCAGCCAATAAGCATCTAAGATTCCCTCAAGGCACAAAGATCACTGACTGAGAAAAAAAAAAAAATCTTCATTCTAAACTATATTCTGACCTAAGTATGCCACCTGCTTAGTTACTCCTTTTTTAAAATTAACAGAATAAAAAAATTCAGAAAACACAGATAAATAAAAATAAACAAAACATCTCACTAAAAAAGCATACATTTATTTAGGATAGCAGAAATTCGCTAGGCCTCTAAAACAAAAGATATACTCAAGGCATATGTGACTATTTCCAATGGAGATTTTCAATTAAAAGACTTTTTTTTTACTGCTACTTACAGTTCAAATACAGTCACCAAATACATTACAGAAATTAAATGATAGCCTAATTCCAAACAGAAATATATGATTAAATCTGCGAAGAATACACAAATAAAAAATTTAAAACTGAATTTCTAAAACAACTTTGACCTGACATTTCTACTGCTTCTGTGAAAAAAATAATTTTAAAAAAACCAAACCTGCCATATTCGTGAAAGTCCATGTTCTAATTTCTTTTTTATGTAGCCACGATCAAAATTAGTTTCTTCAGTACCTATCATGTTACTCCCTTCTGAAAATAAAAGAAAACATATATTTTTAGATTTAATCCAATGTGTGTGTGTTTTCCAAATAATTTCTATTTGGCCTCTCATATATTGTAAGTCTATGTTAAGATACATGAAATATGTTCAATATTTATACAATCAAAACAATGGCAAAAATAGGTATTAGAATTAAACACATTTGATAAGATAACATAAACTTAGACCAGGAAATGCTAAATATACCTAAGACCACTCAGATCACATGTGACTGAGGCTGAGACTCCACCTGAGTCAGTGTGGTCCCAGAGACCAGGTTCTCAGTGAGCATACTGCCTACTGCAAGACCATGTAAAAGGCTGTGAGAAGGGCATTACAGGACCAGTTAACTGAATTATCAATTAATATGCATACTAAGAGGACAGTCTACATCATGAACAGCTCAGGCAGTGAAGTGATAATGTACACGTTTTATATTTTTCATGATGAATAACAGTTTTATCCACTCCAGATAAACAATTTAACAATGTCTAGTTTAATAGGTAAGATCAATGATCTTCCTCCAAACAACTCTCCCCCTAAAGACAACTGAAAAATACAAACACACATTTATATTAAAAAGATGAAGCTTTGAGTGAATAACTTGTGCAGAACACCTAAGTGAGTATGTTACCATCTTGTCTCAGATTGGGAAGGTGTCCACTGATAACTAGTAAAAAGCCCTTGGAAATACCAGACCTCAGATACATAGATACATGACTACTTTGCCTCTGAGTACTCCTAGAACATAAGCCATATATGCATGGTATGGACTCAGCAGCCTAAGGCAGTACACCTGAACTATAGCTTTAGAGTTTTACCTTAGAACATTAATGTATTAGGTTACCAAACGGTATCAAATACTATCACTAAAGAGATACAGCAGATAAAATCTAGAGTCCTCTTCAGTTTTACGAAGTTCCATGGAGAGTAATGTTCAGTTTACTAATTTCTACAATTTTATTCCTGAATATGAAAGGATTAATTTCAGGTGAACAAATAACTTTTTACAGTCCTAGATACTATCAGCTGACTACTTCAGCACTTGAATATCCATCAAATATACAGATTAGGGTCAAGAAATTTTAGCAAAGAGGATTGAGTAATAAGGATCAAATAGAGTTTTAAGTTTGACTCAGTACTCCAGTGAATGTAAACTATTGGCCTAAAGCAAAAAGCTAGCTTCACCATGATGAATATATAGATAACTGTCACCTAAATTCTTCTATCTAAAATACGTGTTAATTCTATTCCAAACTTTACCTTTGGTCTCTCCTTAATGTACTGGAAAAACAAATATGGCTTAACAGTCTCCAGGTATTTCACTATTATTATATTATCTCTTGATCCATTTCCTTTCCTGATATTCACCACCAGCAGTATAAGTACTTTACATGTTCTCCAAGCTTTACAATGACCGTGCAGGGTAGATGTGTTACTTCTCTAAGGGTTTTGTTTTGTTTTGCTCTGCTTTGTAACTGGCCATTTTTAGGAGCAAACTGAAATGTGGAAAAACTAAGCAGGGTCTTCAAATTCTCACCTTTGGTAAATGGAAGTGAAAACTTGAAGCCAGGCCTCTCAGATTGTAGAGTCCATGGTCCGGGGGTAGTACAGGGGTAAGAGTATAAGTTTGGGGTAAAAATAGTCTGAACGGGAGTCCTGGCTGTGTGCCCACCCTTCTCTCTGCCTTCTCCTCTTCTCTTTCTTCCTTTACTCTTCCCAACAATACTTCTAAATAGATAAAAATCCATACATGGAATTTTTCTCTTATTTTGTTTTCTAATTTTATGAGCTTCTTATAAGTCAAGAAAAAGATTAAACTTATGCCTTCTAAACCACCAAAATGTTTAATTAAACAGTGAAATTTGGGTGTGTTGTCCACTCACCAAACAGCAAAAACCAAGCACCTCAGAAATTGGAAGTGACTAAAGTAACTTGATTAAATAGCAACAATAAATTGCATGTAATATTTAAAAAATGTACAGTATAATTTATTTTGTCTGTATTAAACAAAACGCTGATGAAATCACTTACTATTTTTATAAGTATTCTGAATATTCAATCTCAGCTACTGTTCAAGGATAATCACTTAAGGTCTATAACTATACAAATGAAGCAATTTAAACAGAATGACTAATAAATACAATAATTTTTTCAAAGACTTGTTCTTTATTGTTTAGCTGACTGTACCATAGTCATTTAAAGTTACATTTTCCATTAAAAGATGAATATTTTAAAACATGATTTTTAAAATGAAATTCTAATCATTTTCAGGAAGGAAAGTATCAATATAATTATTAATTCTTAGAACCTAGCTTTATTACTGTAACTTGAAAACTGACCAAATAGATTAATATTGACCATCTAGCATTACTTTCACAGTAAATTTAGACAGACTAATGTCTTATCTAGTTTGCAACTAATAATATTAACAACAAAAATTTATAAATTCAGTCCTAAAGCCATCACTTCTGGAAACTGGTACTACGTACCGCTTAAGAAGTCCCTTGGCCCAGTTACTCTCTAAAGGTAACAGAACATTTGAAGTAGCTGAATCACTTTCTTTGCTGAACATTTAGCCTATGGTCATTTTAATCCTTGAAATCCAAAGGCATTCCTGCCCCTTTCCTTTCTTCTTACTCCAGTAATGTGGGATATTTATAGTTCAATTTTTTAAATAAAATAAAAATGTTTTCCTACCTGAAGCGGAAGCACTATCCTCATTGTCATGCTTTTCGTGCCATTCCATAGTCCTGTAATAGCTGAGCATAACTTCCCACAGTGCTTTGCACAGGTCTGCAAGGCATGGAATATAGCTGTCTGGTGTAACATGCTAAAGAAAATGAAAAGAGACAACTTTCAAATTATTATGTTAGTTACAACAAAATATGTAATTAAATATATTCAAAAATGAGAGATAACTAAGAAAATTTCTTCAACTGACATATCTAAAAAGAAAATTCAATGGTAAGAAAAAAAAAATTTAAGTAATTCCCATCTCAATATGGCTTTCTCCTACACATTAAGAACATCAGCCCATATGCTGTGAATTAAACTGTAGTCACGGAACCATAAAGGAATGACTGAATTAGCAGTTGGTCTCATAAGTAGCAGTGTAAACATCCTCAAATACCTTTTTTGAAAGACATGATCCTAAACATGCAAAGACAGCTTTACATGGCCTGGACCTCAGTCACAACTTGCAAAAAGGAGGTTGGATTTACAGTTTTATCATTTCATTTGTGTAAATTAAGTACACATCTCTGACAATTTCTAAGTTTTTTAATCTCTGCCTTCTCCTCTTTCTTTCCCTTGGAATAGATATTCTATATTGGACAATAACGTTTTAAAGTAACTTCTAACATAAACAAGGCTATGAAACAATATGTTATCTCAAATCTTCTCCCTAATGGAAATGCATGAATTTTGTTTCCCTTTGTAAAGACAATTTGCCATTGTGCTTTTTTGTTCTATTCTATTTTGCAGGCTTCCCATTTATCATAATGCAGCAATTGCGCTATCATCTGGGATTTTCCAGCATTTCTTTAGTTCATGATCAATCGACCACAACTTATGCTGATAAAATACTGAAAGGTGAACACTGGTGTAAGTAGACTCCTCAAGATAAACAGCCAGTAGAAATAAGCTATGGCATGGTGTGGTTGATGATCCTGATGTCACAGTTAGTAGTGGTCCTTGCTCCTTCAAAAGGCTTTTTCTTCCCATAATGATCTCTCTCTCTAAACTCATTCACCAAAACATTTATTTGGCAATTAAGTTTATCAAATCTTTGAAACTAAACTAGGAATTACTAAAATAAAGAAGTTAAGCTCTGGAGTCAGACTGTGGGGTTTATGCCAAGAATGCTATAATGGCTTAATCTTACAAAATCCATTAATATAATTTGCTCTATTAATAGGCATAAGGAGAAAAATCAAATTATTATCTCAATAGATGCTGATTTTTTAAAAATTTTTTTCTCAAAGTGGGCTTTAAGAAACCTCAAAACCCACTCCTAACAAAAACGTATGAGGAAATAAGAAGGAAAAGGTATGTACCTAATATGAGAAAACTCTAAGGCACAACCACTGAAGTCACAAACAAAACAATGATGCCCATTATCTCTACTACATGTAACTGTTTACACTGCTATTTATGAGAACACTTGTTAATTCAATAATGTCTTCCTGGTTCTGTGACTACAGTTTGATGCACAGCATATGGGCTGCTATTTAACAATGATTCAGAAGTACAAGCCAACACAATTAGATTACAGAAAACAGAGGCAAAATAATTGGAAAAGAAGAAATAAAACTATTTATATCTGCTAGTGACATAAAAATACACCTGGAAATTCCTAGAAAACCAATAATAAAATGAATTCAAACAGTAAAAGAATTCAGCAAGGTAGCAATTTATAAAATGTACATGCCAAAACCAATAGCATTTGTATACAAATATCCATTTAGAAGATATATTGAATGAGAAACCCTCATTTATAATAAAAACAAGAGAGAATTTTTAGGAATTTAACAAGAAATGATAGAAAACTATGAAGAAAACCATGAAACACCCCCAAAAGACATAAAAATAGATTTGAACAAATAGAAAGAAACCCCTTATTCTTGGTTAGGATATCTCAACATGATAAGATGTCAATGTTCCTTAATATATAAATTTACTAAGATACCAATGAAAAAAGTCCAGAAAAAGATCTGGCCTCATATAAAAATATGGTATATGATAAAGACAGCATCTCACATCACTTAGATGAAGATAGTCTTTTCTTCACAAATAGTATTGGGAAAACTGTATAGTTAGCTGGAAAAAGATAAAATTAGACATATTCCTCAAGAATATGCAAGAATAAACTACAAATAAATAAGAGATTTAAATGTCAAAAAAAACTATACCAGAAGAAAACATGAATCAATTTCTAACATTGATATAGAAAAAGACTTACTAATTACAACACAAAATTTACAAGTAATAAAAGTAAAATTTGATATTACTATATAAAAATAAAAACACAATTTGTATAGCAAAAAACACCATATGTGAAGTCAAAAGACACATGACAACTCTGTAAAATATTCACAACATAGATTCACACTAAAGACCTGATATCCCACATTTATATAGAATTCTTAAAAGTTTGGGGGGAATAAAAGACTAAAAATCCTATCCAAAAAATGAGAAAAAATGCACATGAACACATTTCATAAACAGAGATATAAAAATGGCCCTTCAACACAGCAAAGCATGTTCAACTTTACTTGTAATAGGACAAATGTAAATTAAAATTACAAGAAGATGCAGATTCTCACCAATCTCAATCTTAAAGTTGACCACTGACAAAGATTCTCTCCTTAATCAAACTCTAGTCAGGTTCCTCTGAGCTATCTTCTTAACCATGGCCTAAAAATACTGGAACAAAACACCTAACAGTTTCTTATGGCTCAAGCCACACCCCTAGGATGACTTCAGCCCCGCCTTAAAGTGCCTGCCTGAAAAAACTGAAGGCTATCAAAAAAACGTAGTGTTTGTTCCAACATCTGAGGATAGTTGGATCCAACATCTGTCCTCCAGTCTCTGTGAGAGGGTAGAAGCCTAACTTCCATAAACATCAGTTAGCAAACACAAATGGGTTTACAAGGACCAACTTCCTTCTCACTTTTTGTAAATGTTCACTTTTCCGATTCCATTAACCCCCTGCTCAACCCTCCACGTGAGCCCACTTCCCTCATTCTTCCTTTAAAAGCTGCCCAATCATCTTTGTATAAATCAAAGTTAAATCAGTTCACACTGGACTCTTCCCTATTACAATAGTATCTTACTGATTAAAACCTGTCCTCAACACTTTAACTAGTATTGTCAAAGATAACTTCATCTTTGACATCATATATGCTCTGCTGGAAAGGTTGTGATTAAACGGGCACTCTCATACTTTGCTAATGCAAAATAGTGCAATCCCAAGGAGGGAATTTGTCACGATCTAACAAAACCTACATGTGTATTTTCTCTTAAACCCAGCAATTCTACTTCTAGGAATTTAAACTGAAGGTATACCTCAAACATTGTGAAAATGCATATGCACAACGTTATTTATTAAAGGATTATTTGTAATTGAAAAACACTGAAATATATTTAAATGTCCAAACATAGGAGATTCATAGAACTTTATTCGTGCATACAAAAGAGAACTTTGCAGCTGTGAAAAACAATTTTGAGTAATTTCTCACATTTACTTTTATAATAGCTACCCTTACAATGAGCCAGTCTTACTGTTTTTCTTTGGTGATATGGTTTGGCTGTGTCTGTCCTCACCCAAATCTCACCTTGAATTGTAATAATCCCCATGTGTCAAGAGCAGGGCCAGGTAGAGATAACTGAATCATGGGAGTGGTTTTCCCCCATACTGTTCTTGTGAGAGTAAATAAGTCTCATGAGATCTGATGTTCTTATAAGTGGAGTTCCCTGACCAAGCCCTCTTGCCCGCCACCATGTAAGATGAGACTTTGCTCCTCATTTGCCTATTGCCATGATTGTAAAGCCTCACCAGACATGTGGAACTGTGAGTCAATTAAACCTCTTTCCTTTATAAATGACCCAGTCTTGGGTATGATTTTATTAGCAGTGTCAGAACAGACTAATACACTTGGTTTTAACACATAATTACACCTGACATAACTATTATACCATACATATATGACGAAAGCCAACACCAATACACAGGATCAGGAAAAGGCTAAAAGCATTTTCCAAGGACAAAGCAAAGCAAAAATCCCAAAAAGTTCTGGGCTGTAACTCAGCAACCATAACCCCAAATAAAGGTACTCCTCTACATGTCAATTTTTCTAACTTTCATTAGCCCAACTTTGCATAAGTTCATATATTATACAAATAAATTTAATCTAAGTATATCCCAATATTCCTTCTGGTAGGTAAGAGAAAGGCAGTGTTAGTCATATTTTTTCCCAAAGAAAAATTATGACTGTACAAATAATTGTGTTATAGTCCTCTAATTAATTTCTATTATACTTCTCGCAGTTTAACAAACCAGAAAATTAAAACTGAGACCTACTATTTTCTATTCTCCAGCCAACCACTGTCCAGCTACACTATTTGACTATTTATTTGAAAAAAACGAGGTCCTTCATTATGTTATCTCTTGAGGGTTTGCTGAAATTTAACAGGTTTGGATAAGATAATACACACAGAGATGTTAATGTGAATCTTTTTTTCAAAAAAAGTTAAAGTTACATAGTGAAGTTATAGCAAGCCTTTCTTCTCATTGAACTGATTCAAGGGTAAATAATCCAGAGATCTAGCTAAACCACTGCACATACCTAAACATCTCCCAAAAGAACCAAAATTGTATTATCTTCAAATACATTCACGTGTAGAAACGTAAGACTATGATATATGCAGCACCAGCAAAGAGATGATTCTTGCCTAAGTTTATATTCTAAAATAGAAACAAATTTAAACATTTTATTAAATACATAACAACAAATAGTTTAAGAAGAAAAGGTGAATTGGGATTGACTTTTTAAAAAACAATGTGTTTGATAAATTTAAGCCCAGCTATGTTAATCTCTGAAGGTTATACTGGCAATAAGTTAACAGTCATTTCATTTTAAAATTGGGCCTCTTTCCATTATGCCATGCAACCAACTGGTGTCAATTCTCACACTGACAAATGCTTCTCCTGCATTTAACATCACATAACTAAAATCATTTGCAACTAATATTTTCTAATTACTTTATAAAAATCACCTCCAAATTTCAGTTAGAGAATGTTATTACAAAGACATGAATGAATCATAATGA